AGCATTGTATCATTTAGATACCGAAAGTACAATATATTGAACACTGTGCTGCTGTCATTTCCCCCTAATGATAACCTGAGATGGTGAATTATAACTCACAATGAAAATTGTTCAGGAAAGTGGGTATAGAGTAGACATGTAGAACTAGATAAGCTTATGATAAGCCAGCCTTGTCTACTTATTAAGGAAAAGTGGGAGGTCTTTTTAATGAACATAGCTTCTCTGCTTTATCAGCCATAAGTCTGTTCCTCTTCTCATCAAGCACATGAGAGGCAGCGCTGAACAGTCTCTCGCTGTCAGTGCTTGTGATTTGATCTTACTCCGCATATTTGTCCGGGTGTTTTGATTTCAAGTGGTGGAGTAATCCCGAAGTGGTGAAAGTCTTTGCAGTTACACCCCCTCGAGAAATGTCAGCTGAACACGTTTTACAAATCGCAATCCGCGCCTCTTTCTCTGATATTTTGAAATATCCCCAAGCGCCAGACATGTTGGCTGTGAGCCAGCCGCGAGCATGGTCGCGCACCGTGCTTGTCGCCGCGTTTTGATTACGTCATCACAACAACACGTTAGCTTTCCAACGTAACCCTGTTCTCTGACATTCGGTGATATTTTTTCGGTGCTAGAACCCTTTCGGCCGAAAGCCGAAAGGGCCTTTTTAACCATTTTCGGCCGATAATTTTCGGCGGCCGAATATTCGGTGCATCCCTAGAATAAACCTTAGGAAATCTTGAAAGGGATGTGCAAAATAGCCATTATACAGTCTTTAATTAACTATTAGTCACCTGACTGGATAAATACGTCCCTCAATGGACTGTCTTTTATTTACTTCCAGTTAACATTTTGATTACATAGTTGTGTATATAAATTGCACTGTCGTGGATTTTTACACGTTCGATCCATGCTGAATGTTTTGGTTTTATTTGACCATGTTAAAGATGTCTGTTTCCTGATCAATTCAATATCTACATCACATGTGTCAAACTCAAGGCCCGGGGGCCAAATCAGGCCCTTGGTGGATTTAATTTCGGCCTGCAGGATAATTTCTAATTACTATTAGATCTAGCCGGTATATTGCACGCACACCTTCACTCAATCCTGAGGGTCTCCTCAGCTCAGAGCCTGACCCCAATAATTGAAGCTTTGTTAGTTCCAGGTTTAATATGTGCAATAACTTCATTTCAATAAGTTTTGCAATAAACATTGAACCTGTCCGGCCCTCGACTAGTCGCGATTTTTTTATTTTGGCCCACTGTGTATTTGAGTTTGACACCCCTGATCTACATTAATGATTTGGGCTTCATCCTATAGAGAAACCCCAAACGAGCTCAAAAATACTACCATTTAGGAATGAAAACTGGAAGTTCTAACCCAGCAATAAATTATCTGATTGAGAAAGCACATTATATGCAATATAAGAAGCATTAACTTTCAAATTTCAAATTAAATCTAGCCGTCATAGAACCAATTCTCCTCTATGTATCTCTTACCAGAACTTGGACTAATTGGACAGAACCCATTGGACATGAACACTTCCTTACACCTGACTTAAAAAATGTGTCGCTGTGCGCTGTCTTTCAGATGAATTGCAATGTTCCACTTTCTGGTGTGGATATGCTGCTTTCATCAATGCTGATAGTTTTATTTGTCCATGTTAAAAAATATCTGTTTCTTAAATCTCTTTTTTCCACCAATACAATGGAGTTTAATAGGTTTTCTCGTGGTTTGAAACTTCTTTGAATTTGGTGTTCAAAAGTCAACGTTGAGTTCCCACATCAATAGAAATGGGCTTTACTTAGAACAACATTAATACTATTTTCCTGTTAGAAAGGAGTTCCCATAAACACTATTTAGTTACCATAAGTAATTGGGATATTTTTTGCAAATAGTGTTGCTTTCTAGTTTTTCAAGTGACCAGAAACAAAGCTACATTCACCACAAGAGTTTCAGAGTGGCAAATAAACAAGACATTCAAAACATTAAACGAAAACTATCTATATGGCTAGATACAACTAAGATGGGTGAAACGTGTTTCTAGTGATATGGGTAAACTGTTTAAAGCTTGATTCACATCTGGAGCCCAGACCCTGCTCAGAACCTCATATTAATGTTAATTAACACAAGTCATTGTGCCTCCTCTGTCTACCAGCTAATGAGACCTGTCGATTCAGATTCGACCCTTCAGAGCGACGGCAAACACAAAAGCAGGAAAGAACAGAGACACAAAGCTTGTTTATTCTGCAGAGGGCCCATGCTAATCAACCACTTGTACCCTTTCAAAAAACAAAAGCCTGATATTAGCATTTCTGCTCAGAGATATGAATTGGTTTGTTTTTGTCCTTTCTTCCTCATCTCTCAGTTTATTATGTCCGGGCTCCGCGAGTGGTTCGGATGAAGCGCTCCTCGTGTGAGAGGATGTTTTGTCCTCTGTTTGGTGCAGCATTGAGTGCTTTCTTTTTTGCCAGATATGAAAAGGATAAGAGGTTAATCCAAAAAAGCAGACAGCCGTTCATTTTCTCTACACAAGCAGCGCCCATGTAGCCTATCCCAGCATGCTTTGGGCGAGAGGCGGGTCTTACCAAGAACCGTTTAGCTGTCCATCACAGAAGAAATTAAGGGATATCAGTTTTAAGCTAAATTATAACCAGTAAAAGTGTCCAACTCCAACATCTTTTGCTGATATCTAAAATGTTTTTTGCTTTTACTTCCTCTTCTGATCATGTCTCCTTGTCTCCTCTCTCCTAGCTGCCAGTTCAGCTGTATGGTCGAGGAATGGCGGACAGGGAGCATCATCGCCAAACTACGAGGCTGCTCCACTACACTCCCTGGTATGACATACACACAATAAATAAATACTTGATCTCCCTAGAGGCTAAATCTGTCGGCCAACAGACCCTCCCTCATCGTCACATTCGTTATCTACGTTATGACACACACTTCTGTATCTCTGAATGAGCTCATTACAGTATTTTCCATCACAATTCAAGGGAAATCTATACACATTGAATAGTCCTTTGCTTCATAACTCAATTTTCCCACCATTTTGACACTCAAATGGTCAGTTGGTCGACTTTTGTCAGTCACTAAATACAAACTATACAGAAGGGCTATTCAATTAGTTTGGAATGGGGGCCGGTTGATGAAAATGATCCAAAGCAAGGGGCCGGGAAGAAGATTGCTTGAAATATGAGCTTCAGATACAGTAAATACTACAACAGCATAGTGGAGTGCATATATTGTGTTTAACTATGTTGTTTGATTGAATTAAACACAATATATGCACTCCACTATGCTGTTGTAGTATTTACTGTATCTGAAGCTCATATTTCAAGCAATCTTCTTCCCGGCCCCTTGCTTTGGATCANTCAAAGCACAAATAAACATAGTAAGTTTGACTGAACTCTCTCTCTCTCTCACCCTCCTACATCTCCTTATGTCACACAGCTGCTTGGTTCTTTATGTTTATTGTTTCAAGTTGACAGAAAAATATCCCAAACCAAATATGGAAAACATTACTGCCGTCTGTCTGACTATATCATTGTAATTCTTCCCTCCTCTTGTTCCCTACTCTTTCCTTTATTTAGCCCTCTACTTTTTTTTCCCATTCCTCTAACCTCCTTCCCTTCTCTTTCTTAACTCACCCCTTCTCTCTTTACTCCTCCGTCCCTCTTCGTTTATTTTACACTGTAAGCCATATTAAATTGCCAACAACAAAAACATTTTTAAAGTATCTTGGTTTTTTGGCTGTGGGAAGACATAATAGTGTGTTCAAAGCAAAAGAAAAGCACTTCTTTTTGTTTGCATCTAGATTAACACAGGGTCAACTCAAAGATACAAATTCACATCATTCGAAATTTCCACTGCAACCAAAATGTTAGCGTGACAAAAGAAAAAAAACGTTTCAAACAAAGCAAATCATATATTTCAAATAAATGATTGCTGCCATGTATACTATTTTGCATCCCGTCTTTTCCATGTATTGTTGCAAGCCTGACTGATTTTTAACAATATATATTTGGATATTCAGACATTCAGCACTACAATATCTTCAGAAACAATTCAAATATTGCCTTTGTGTATGGTTTTACTTGATAAAAGTGCCATATTGACATGTTATATTAGAGGTTAATGCAACTTCTATCATCATGTTTCCATTCATTCCCACAGAACACCAGCATGCTCTCAGCTCCTACCATGAGGTGTCTGTTGGCCGACAGCAGTCCTGACCCGTATCCGCTGTTCAGAGCTCCCATGGCGCCGTTGTGCGTGTGTGCGGCGCTGATGAGGTTGTGCATTTCTCCGTGGCCGCTCGGCATGCCCGTCGACGGCCCCACCGCGTGACTCCGCAGGACGTGGATGGCATCGTCCAAACGCTCCAGGCGGTCCTCGATACGACTTTGCTTCAGAGTGAAAGAACACAGAAATAATTATGAGATTTACTCTCACGCTTCCTTTGTTATCTTCGTCCCTATACTTTAAATAAACATCCAACTATCCCCACAGTTCTGGGCAAGTCGTCATGATCTCTGTGTTTTATTAGAAGCTTTACAGAGATGATGCTTTACCTGTTTTAAATAACCAAAGTCAGACAAAATGCATACGGATAATAAGTGAGTTACGCTGAGCTCCAACTCACTAAAATATATTTACCGGTACATGGATTTTCTTAAGTATACTATATAGCAGGGCTAGGCCCCAGGGTGATATTTACTGGCCCTTTGAGTATAATGTTAAAAAGTAATCACATTTTTTTTTTGGGCCAGAGTGGCTTTATTCCAGGGAGGGCGTTAAATTGAGAGATAGTGGGGAAGACATTGCCTGAAAACTTTGGCGGGCTCGGGTTTCGAACCCACCTACTACTGTAGCTACTGTGGTGACAACTCCTGTCATAGATTGTATCTCTGCGAGAATGATTAGATCATTTCACCTAAATTAAATCTAATGAAATGATGTTGATGGTTAAACCTTGAGTCATCCGGAGGTA